AGATCTCAAGAAATAACGATTACTCTCAATATCAATTCTTGGAGAGAGTAGTATATCATTTCTTTAGACAGTACCTCTATAAATCTTCGGTGTCATCTATTTTTTCTTCTCTCTCTTATTTTCCACTTAAATTTTTTACTTTGAATTTTCGCTATATATTTATTCAAACATTTTTATAAAAAAAATATTTTTGATCATTTTGAAACATTTATTTTCTTTGAACCTCTATAAATGTTTTCAAACTCTAATTAAGAAAATATTTTTGTTTTAAATCAATAATTTTTAAACCTCCGTAATTCACCCCCCCCCCCCCCCCCCCCCCCCCCCCCTCTTGTGAATGAAGTCACATGTCCAACAATTAGCATCAGAGTCTAACTCATGTTTAACGAATATTCATCTCAAGGGAAAGATGACTTCCAACATTACTTTTAACAAGAGGACTTTACTAAATACACCTCTGTCGTTTAATGGTGATATGTTTAAATGATAGAAATCTATATTCAAAGTATTCATTCAAAGTTTTGAATTGTGGGAAATAATAACCAATGGTTTTTTTATTCCTACTCATTGTGTAAATGATAAAGTAGTTGACAAAACAAATTTTCTTTGAACTGAAAAAGAGAAAGTTTGAAATTTAAAACTAAAAATTTCTTAGTCATATCTTTAAGTAAAAATCGATTTTTCTAAGTCTTTAATTTTAATTCCTCCAAGAAAATATGGGATACTCTTGAAATTATCTATAGAGTTTCTCCTAGTATAGAACAAGAGAGAATGAACACACAAGGCGAAGAAGTCGAATGCTTCCTTCATAAACATTTCCCAACCTTTTAGAAATTTTGGGAATAATGTTAGAACCTTCGTCACTAACAAATATCTAAGAGTTAAGGATTAGATTCAGAGACCTGATCCAAACCTTAAATCAAGAGATAGTAATGTTTTACGATTTTCAAGAAAAAAACCAAGAAGGAAAAAAATAGTGGAAACACTGAATTAGTTAATCCAACTACTAAAGGATGAAGGCATAAGCTCAAATCTAGAATAATCTCTAGGAAAGAGCTCTTTTGAAGAAGAATAGGAAAAAGCAACTACGATAATATCCTTTTAAAGAATAGTTTTAATGATTGAATGATCCTCGAAGGATTCAACATCCAATGAAGAAACTTCCTCAAGAAGAGAATATGAAGAAGAAGAAGAAGAAGAAGAAGAAGAAGTTTCATCCAGTGGAATCTTTGAAAGAATAAAAAAAGGAGGTATCAACAAGCAATATATTCAAACTCAACTTCAAGGAGAAATATCAAAGAATCAATCTTTGATAGAGTCTTCAAAGAATCTTCTTCCAACAAAGAAGGTGAACAACTTTGCCTGAGAGTCTCTTGTGAAGAAAATGATTGTGAGCTAACAAAATTGTTATAAAAGTAATGGTTAAATTAAATGTTAAACTAACCAAGTAACATGATATGATTGAAAGACATAACATAGATCTTAAATACTATATTAAGTTCTTAGGAAATATAAATGAAACACTTAAGTATGTAATAGTTAATTTAGAAACTAATCTGAAACATGTGAAACTTGTGTTTCGATGAAAAAGAAAGTGAAATATATTTATAAAACCCTAAGTAAATTTATTAAGGGAAAATAAAACCTAGATTTGATTCTTTTAAATCAGATTCCTTCTTTGAATAAAACTGAGTTAGGTTTTAAATATGGTAGATTACATAGTAAAGGCTTTAATAATAATAAAATTTGAATCACCTTATTTAAAAATGCCCATATTGTGATAGATTTAGCCACTTAGAGTCATTTTTCTTTGATAAATGATAAGTGGTGAATGCATAGGGTTTTCTAGATTGTTATATCATCTATTTGTTGTGTGTTTTCGTGATTCAAGTTTATTTTTATGGGCTTTTATGTTGTTTACTTGTTTTCAGTTAATAAGAAGTCGATGGAGCGAATCAAGATGAAAAAGGTCAAAGATCATACGAAAAGGAACACTTCTCGTGCAAAACTTCAGAGGATAATATGAGTCGTGATGTCCCTTTAGAGCTCCCTCCATATCTCAAACCTGAGGCTAACACCGCCAACCTGTGTTGCCTAACACAGATCATGTCAGTAGCTCAGGCAGTTATAAACTTTTAGTTTTTGGGTAGTTTTTGAGACTTTATGCTATTGTAACTTCCATTTGCTTTATGATTAGTGTTAAGTACCCATTATTCACAAACTTATTATTGTAATTATGAGACTTAGCATTGAATTAGTATAAATAATGGCCTTAGGGTCCTTCATTGTACTAGACTTCTTGCAATACATTATTATTTTTCTTTAAGTTCTTTAAGATTTTGTTATTTATAAGTTCCCGAATTTTATTGTTAAGCTTGCCTTCACTTTTACTTTATAATTTGCTATCGCTTTACTTATTAACTTTATTCTTTTGTAATGTTATTAAGCTTTAACATTCTTGTTGCCCATCTCACCATGAGTGGGTAGTTCCTTAGGGACTTGGGGGTTATGTGAGTTCATATTATGATGAATCTCTACTAAAATCTATATTTTTGTAACTACTAGAAGTTTAGGCTTTCTTTATTTTAGAACTCGGGTATTATTTTTACGCTTATGACGGTTGCGAAAGCAAGGTCATTAGAGATGTCGTTCATGTATTGAAAGGTAATGAATTGACATCCAAAAGTGAGTTGTTAAACAAATGATTTTGAGGTGCCACTGACAAGGTGACTTGATCTCAATTGAGAAATAATCAAGAAGCGCTGACACATGACAAGACGTAGCAATCTTGATTAATTTACTTAGCTGCGCCAGGAACACGTCTAGATGGACACACCACGAAAGTGGATGACACACATATTTATCTTATTTTATATAAAAATCGCTTAGAACTGCTCGTATTATAAAACATACACAAATCATAGGAATAAGTCTAGATGGGCGAATCAGAATTCCTAGTCTTATTTTGCATTATCTGTTTAAACTTTAATTTACAATCCACAATCAAACAAACCGCTTGCGATCACCTTAGATAAGCATAGTTGAGTTAAAATTTGGTAATCATACATCACTTTGTGGGATCAAAATTTTGTATTACTTGATACAAATCGTGCACTTGCGGTTCACACACAACAAGTTTTTGGCGCCGTTGCCGGAGAGGTATTGAGATATCAAAAATTTATTTCAACGCCATTTAGACTAAGGTATTTTTATTTTTTAGCTATTCGCAAAAATATTTTTCTTATAATGATTCTTGCAAGAGGATTTATCCAAGAGATTGATAATTATATGAACAACAGCTTAATAAGCCCGTGTTTAGAATCCTATAATCTGGAATGGAGCAATAACATAAACTTTTTTGCATGAACTTTTCCCAATATGCCATGGGACCAAATTGTCCCTAATATGGCACTATCATTACTTTTGGGGATTACAATATGGCAATATTAATTGAAAATTTTGTTGCAGTGCAAGCGTGCCAAAACAAAGATCTTATTGAACAAAATAGTCATATTTGTGAAAACCTTGGGTAGTTAGTTTCTATGATTGAACCCCTTGCAATTCAAAGCAAAAATTTAGAGACCCGAATCTCCCAATTAACACGTGTCCCTTCGGGCCCAAATCTTGAGGTACATGTCAACATTGTTACTATCATAAGGGAGAAAGAAACTGAGAATCTTGAAGAGATTTTGGAGGATGTTCCAAAACCATCTAAAAAGGAGGTTGTCGAAGAGGTTGATAGGGAAGTGTCGTAACTGGCAAAAAATAAAGAGCTGTCACCATTAATTTTTATCCTAAGGATGGAAAAATAACGGATAACCCTAATTCGTAGAAAGATTTCAAATTCGTAAGTCAATTAGACAAAGGGAAGGTGTTAGGCACCCTTCATTCCCTTGTTCTCAAGGGGCTCCATTTTAGGTTTAAGGGTAAGATGAGTATTCAGCAATTAATGTTTCTATATATTTGAGAAAAGAATTTTAATTTTTTAGTTGTGAATTCGTCTTGGTTTTAATCGCGTGCTTACGTATCTCCTTGCAAAGAATCAGAGTCCAATTTCGAGTTCGTAGTGTTTGGTTGGTATTTTTTTATAGGATCATAAAATTGCTTTCGAATTATCCTTGAATCTTGTCTGATTTTGAAAAGTGAGTGATTGTAGACGCAGTTCGCAGTTAAGTTTGAAGGTAATGCTATTTAATTCTTTTTCGAAAATATTCTTGAGGTTTTTATTATGTTAGTGGAAAAATAATTTAAGATTGGTTAGCTATTTTAGGTTAAGTTTTGATCGATTGAAAAATAATTGATCTTCTTTAGAATTAAATCGCGCTAGGCGAAGTAATTGATTTGATTGGTTAGTAAATTTTAGATGTATTTTGATTTAAATAACCAATTGGCATGCGTTAAACCAACCTACTAATTTTTCGAAAATGTTGAATCTTATTATTTATAAAAATATTTAAATTATTTTAATTAAAAAAGAGTTTAGGTTTATATAAAAGGAATTTTTTCCAGTATTTTTTATAATTAGTAAAGATCATAATCCCAATAAACTAAATTATTTAAAGTTAATCAAAAGGAAAAACTCATATTGAATTTTTGTATCATTATTTTTGTATAAGAGACTTAGTTGAAATGAGTTCATTACCCTAAATATTGACCTAATTAACAATTAATCTAACCCTAATGATGAATGAATTTACTAAATTTATTAGTAAGATGATGAGGCTAAATAAAAATAAAAATTAAGGGAGGTGCTAAATTAGAATCATGGTGTATATATATGTACAATGGTCTAAAAAGGGATCAAGGGCTAGGCATGAGGTCTGCCGCCCCAATCCTCCACTCTTTTTACCAAAAAAATTCAAAATAATGCAAGGACCACTAATATTGAGACATGTGGCATAGATATATTTAATAAAAAGAAATAATTACACATATTGATGTTCAGGAAAGAGAAAGTCTCATTCTCAATAACATACCTCTTCTTGCGATTTCTTCTTCATCTAAGATGAAAAAACTCCATGCTCTTTCTCTGAGTCGAAGCGTGGTTGGCGGAGGGTCGCGGCCTTGACGGTTATGAGCGGTGCAGGGGTTCCCTGAGCGGCGGCCTGGGCGCGTTGGTGTTTCGAAGCTGGGGTTTGCCGGATTCCTCGGATCTCAAGACGGTGATGCGGTTGGTGCAGTCGGAGAGGCGGAGCGGCGTTAGTTTGGCCCTCGGTGACGGAAGAATTTACAGCGGAGGCAGTCGCGTTTGGTGGTTGAGCGGTAGATTTGATGGCCTTCGATTTTATTTTCCCTTGATTTTTCTGTTCTTTGGTACACTGCTATGAGAAACAATAAAAAACAAAACAAAAGTGTTGCTGTTACATCTACATGTTTCTGTAAATATTGTTTTGGAACAAATGGTGATGCAGGTTTATTCAGAGATTGGCAAAAACACTTGGTAAAGGTTGTATGACTAACAATTTTGTTTGTAAAACAAGTCAATTGTAAATTGTGGAATTTGTTATTTATCAGTTTTGACTAAAATTAAGGATTGATTTTTGTGTAAAAAGAGATTCTTAATTAGTGTTTGAATATTGTTGTGTGAAAGGTTGAATATGAGGTTGAGTAATATACTTACATGTTTATAATTGTAAAATTAAATGGATTGATTTGTACAAATAAAAAAAAGAATATGAGAATTGTTTTCGTGAAGAAAAAAGAAATAGTTAGTTTTTGGCATATCACTATAACAACAAAAATTGAGCAATAAACAGATAATTTGACTTGGAAAAAAAATAGAATTTTAGAGGTGTGTATGTGAAAAGTGGGAATTAATTTGTGAATGGTCTCTTGTAATAATGAGAAACAAAGTTTAGAAGATTAAGTGTGAGGTTGGTGAAAGTATGAATCGTGTAGTTTAGAAAAGAAATAAAATTAGTCTCCGAAAAAATAAATTATTAGTATGAAAACACAATTTTAAAAAGTGAATAACCGTCAGATAAGCATCATACGGTTTTAAATAGAAAAAAAAAATAAAGATGGAATTGAAAACAAAGAATGAAAGGGTGGGGGGCCTCATATGAAATCATTGGCCAAAACACAAAAATCCAAGTAGAAACTTTGAAAAGAATTCGCAAAAATATTTTGTAAAAGTGAAACCGTGAAATTGTGTGTGAATCTAAATTGTGAGAAATTATTGATAATTGTGTGTGAATTGTTGATCGTAGTGAAATTGTGAGAAATCGTGGATTTTGTGGATGATAAATTAGGATAAAGAGAGTCTTATTTGATGGCTACGGTTAGTGCGACATTTTAGATTGTACTAATGTTCCTTGAGTCAGTCGAGGATAACATTAGGCTTCTGCGGGGTGTCATTAACACTAACTGGCTTTTAGAACCTTAATTGACCCATCTTGGCCATTAGAAGGTAGTAAGATGGTCAACTTTGGTGCAGTCCAAGGTTGGTTGATACTCAATGCTATGCTTATTGAGATTCGACTCTCGGGATATTTTGGTGGCAAGCCAGTTGCTGTGCTAAAATAAAGCCTGTGAGAAAGATCGGTGATATAAGATTCCTAGAACCCGGTTACTATTTTTAGGACAGGTTGAGCCAACTTAACTTCAATAGAGAAGGGTAGTTACCTGTGGACCTCATGCAAGCCTTTAAACTTAAGGCTCCCGTGTGATTTGTTCGTGTTTGCCACTTGTTTAAATATGAACATAACATCACGACATCATGACATGGTATTTTACTAACCATTTCAAGGATCTTAGGGGCCATTGGTGCAGGATTATCATAAGCAATGGGCAAGAGGATTTATTGTCCTCTAACCAGATGACGTCCAAATCAAAGCACATTCTTTTGAGTCAGAGGCTAGGACCTACTTGATATGGTGAGCTTGATTCTGATAGAAGGATGTTCAAAGATGAAAACTCAAATTTCTTCAAGACAAAGTTGCAACCAGATTCTTTTTCCAATATTTTTATCCCATAAGATCCATGAAAACATTGCATATACATCTACATGTCATGCATATCATAACAGGTATTCTCAAGACAGGTTTTCTCATCTTCTTGCTATTTATTTCAGCAGAAAATGGATCTTAAACAAACAATCAAAGATCTCCAAGCTCAGAACGCCAAATTCCAACAGATGTTCTTGAACATAGCCAAGGGGCAGGAAGAATTTAAAGTACCTGTCACCATTGAGAAAAAGAAGAAGACAAAGAAACCAATTGGCGTCTTTAACATGGGAAGAAGGTTCAAAGGTCCTGTCAAGCAAACTCGAGATCTTAACATCTGTAGCAAGTGGTTTTTTAATCAAGAGTCGCCACTATTAGTTTTTATCCTAGGGAAGAGAATCTAATAGAAAACCCTAATTCACAGATAGAGATTCTAGGTTTCGGACTCAATTGGACGAAAGGAATGAGTTAGGCACCTTTCATCCACCTTGTTCACAAGGATATTAGACTCTAGGTTTAGGTTTGGGGTAAATGGGGTTTCAAATTTTAATTAGAAAGACTCGCCACAATTTTCGATCGTATGCCTACGTATCCTCTTATGAGTAATCAGAGTCCCAATTCGTAGTTCGTATGCGTTGGTGTTTTTTAGGGGTTTGCAAACATATCTTGAATCACTTCGCACTCGGTCAGGAGTAGTGATTGCGGAGATTTTGACTGAGTGCGTAGTAAGCCAAAACGAGTTTAAAACCCATTTGCAAAAAGACAGTTGATTATTTTAGTTTATTGCGAAAATAATTTTAAGGTTTGTTGGATAATTTTTAATCGTATTGATTGCTAAGATCTCTTGATTAATGCATGATAAAAGATTTAATCCAAATAATACATAAAATAATATGCATTTTTCTGAATAAAAATAATTCGTTTATGATAATATAAATAATATTTAGATGTAATTTTAATATAAAAATAAATTTTTTTGATAATATAGTAACTTTAAATATATGAATAATAATATTTATATAAAAAGGGAATCATAATAATCATATATACCTAAGAGATAAATAATATTTGGACCTAATAAAAATAAGGGAATAAAAAATATAGCTAATAAATATAATATAATAATAAAAAATATAATAATTATAAATAAATAAAATGAGAAAAATGGAATTAAAAGTAAAAAAGAATTTAATTTAATTAAAACCAGGGGGTGTCGTTTTCAACTGACCAGTAAAAAAGGGGGGGTGCTGGAAGTTAGGCCCAGGTTGGCCCAAGTATTATTCAGGCAGAGGGGGTGAATTTTGTTCACTGGTTTAGCAAAAACACAGAAAGGGGTGTGGATAACGTCTGGGCTTGGCCCACTACACAGTTTTTTGGAACCCAAAATGATTGAGTGCGCGAGGGAGTATGGGACTTACGGTGAACCTGGCCTCACGGCCGTTCACACATGATCTAACAGATGAGGTTTAATGATGCATGATAGTTACTGTAAACACATTGTACTGGATTGGAACATAATATAACACGTTATCTTTTACATTTTTCAATTCATTATTTGTTTTCTTTTTACAGCTTTCGCTTCCTCTTTCCTCTACCCTTCGCGGTACATCCCCAAACCCTTCTTCCTTCTTTAATGTCAGACTACCGGCGGCGGCGGCTCAACCACCTCCCTTCCCATCATAAACCGATAACCCTCACTCAATCAAACGACATCAAAATAACAAAAACTAAGAATTTTACCCCTTTTACATTTGTTGTTCTCTGATTACACGCCTCTGGTCTGCTAACCTTTCTTCTTCTCCTTGCTTGCAGGTTCCGGCGACGCTTCAGAGATGATGGTTGGCGGCACGGTAGCAACGACAACAGAGATGATGTAACACGATTGGGGTTTCGGACGTTGAAACCCTAATCGCCTCTAACTCCGGTCTTCAACAAGGTGGTTCTTACCTTCTTCCAACAAGTCTATTCTTCTTCTGCCAATATTTGTTCGTCCATCCCCTGTTTCTGTAAAAAAATCCTCCTTCCCTGTTTTCTGTAAAAAATTCGCCCCCTTCTTTGTACTTTTATTTCTGTATTTATACAGTTAGTTTTTTTTAGGGTTTTAGTGTTACAACATAGATTTAGGGATTATGATAAATTAGGGATTCGATTCAATACTGTAATTGATTTGGTTATTGGATTTATGCTGTAGATTTGTAACACGCGATTGACTGTATTAGATCTAGATTGATTTGTAATTGATTTTAAGATTTGTTAATTTTGCATATTTGATTGAATGTATTTTTTAGATTTGATCTGTTGTTATTGAAGATTGAGATTTGATTTGCAGCAAAATCATGTTTCAAGATTTGATTTCCATTTGTTTTAATTCCTACAACAACTGTTAGTAACACAAATCCTGCGCTAATTCTGCAAATTTGAACAGTAATGATTATTGATAAAACATGCGTTTTTGGTTCTAATTTGGGCCTGCATTATTATACTATTTTGGCCCAGCTTTGTTTGGAACTAGGCCTAACAAAAATTTCAGTAATATTTTTGGACATTTTTGGCACATACTGGACATTGGTAGATTCGATCAGACACAAAACTTATATTACAACCCTCTAAGTAAATAATTATCAATGTAATACCTTTTGACCAATGAAAACATAAAAACATTTATCAACAATAGTAGAGAAAAATATATCACGTTCCTTTAGTAAAGACGTATATAATGTTTATTTATTTTTATCAAAATAATAACAATATTTTTAATAATAATACTTTTTCCTAAAAACAAAACAGCAATCAACATTAAATGGGCTGCTAAGCCTCAATGGGCTTTGTAGTTTGTAAACACACCCCATTTTTCTTGTTCCAACCTCAAAATAAATGGGCCAAACGATTCTAATGGATTCTTAGGTTGCAACTTCAACCCCTTTCTTTTATTAAAACAATAATACTTGCATGAGCCTTAGTTATTGATACATCCCCCTATTTACTGTTTAACCCCACATAAAATTTAAATGAGCTTAACTATCTTTAAGTTTAAACTCTCCTTTAACTAATAACAAATATTAATAATAAGAGATTAATAATTATTCGAATAATTTTTATTTTCAGATCACATGGGCTATTGGCTAACATGCTACACGAACGAATACACGAGTCTTTCTGATTTTAGCAAGCCTCGCTCTCCTGAATTTAAGGTTCACCCCCTAGTTGGATAAAGATGGACCATCAGATACTGATGTACCATCCTTAATTAAATGTTTCTTCTATTTTAATCTCGAAGAATGGAATTATCGAGGTAGGACAAATTTGGGGTACGACAAATGCCCCTATTCAATCATCTTTCAGTCGAATAATGCAAGAAAACTCGAGTCTCGCGCATTCTGATAGGAAGTTTATTGAATACTTGAGGTATCCCCAAATTTTGTTCGACAAACATAAGGTTACATTGATATAGCATACTGTTGCACCCCAAAATTTGCCCTCCCATATTCTCCAAGATTTGTCAAGCCAAGTCACAAAATTCCCCAAGGGTTGTGCAGCTCAACTGTCTCCTATACAGTCAAAACTAGGGTTTGGGTTCTGATCAAGAAAATGAAGTGTTCAAAGGTCCAATCAAGTCTCATATGCCTACAAAGATGGTCAAGTATCTTCATATCAAGTTTCAAGGCATTCAGCTCAAAATTGCACAGTCAAAACCCTAAATTGCACTACAGTCAACTGTAGGGGCAAAATGGTCATTTGACAGTCAAAAGTTCAAATTTTTGGTTAACATATCATTTTGAAGCCACAAACATCATTTGATCAATGCTTGATCATGATTCTCAAAATTTGGCTCAGAAATCATCAAAGATGCAAAAGTTACTATATTTGGACAGCTGAAAAAGTCAACTGAAATTGACCAGGGCATAACTTTCACATGGATTATCAGAAAAATTCCATCCAAAGCTCATTTTGAAGAGAAAGACATTTCCTACAACTCATCTTCATATTCCAAGTCCAAGAAAGGCTCTCACAAAAAGTTATCAATTTCAACATTATAGGTCATTTTCAAAAGTCAACAAAAAGGGACTTTAAGTCAAAGGCCATAACTTGAGATTGGTGAATCAAAATGACATGGGACCAAAGGCATTGGTTAAAGGACTCAAAGACCTTTCCAAAATGTCCAAGAACATGTGAAAAGCTTAAAAATTGAGCAAGTTATGCCTTGGGGAAGTTGGGAAATTTTTGGGAATTTTGAAAAGTCAACATTGATGCAAATGATCCAAAAATGCTAATGGGCCCATTTTTCTTCCAAGTTTCTTCATGCCAAGCCTATGCACGACCATTAGGCCCAAAGGGAAGTATTTTCTCATTTTTTAATTATTTATTTGAATTTATATTAATATTAATTCATTTAAATTATTTAAATATATAGAAAATATCTAACTTGACCTAATGAATCTTTTTGTACACATTTTAGGCTCAATAATTCGTGCCTAAGCCAATTTGGAAAGATTTGGAGCATTGGGATATGGTTTGTGCAAAAACAACATGAAAAAAGATGTGAAAAGATTCTTAACAAAATCAAATATCCAAACAATGAATGCCTTGGATTTTGTCAAGTTTTGTTGACCTAAAAGCCTCCATACATATTCAGAAGCACAACCCTAAGCAAAAGAGACAAAAAGCTGCGCTGAGAACCCCTACACAAACTTGAAAAATTGCTTAGAAACTCAAATTCTGAAATCAACCTTAGAGGTCGATTCAAGCCTTGATTTCCATCCCAAAAGCTCCCTTGGCAATTCCTGGACATATTCCAATC